AACAGTAGTTATAGTACCAGTAACAGTAGTAATAGTACCAGTAACAGTAGTTATAGTACCAGTAACAGTAGTAATAGTACCAGTAACAGTGGTTATAGTACCAGTAACAGTAGTAATAGTACCAGTAACAGTAATAATAGTACCAGTAACAGTAATAATAGTACCAGTAACAGTTGTGTACCAGTAACAGTAGTTATAGTACCAGTAACAGTAACAGTAGTAATAGTACCAGTAGTTATAGTACCAGTAACAGTAGTTATAGTACCAGTAACAGTAGTTATAGTACCAGTAACAGTAGTAATAGTACCAGTAACAGTAGTTATAGTACCAGTAACAGTAGTAATAGTACCAGTAACAGTAGTTATAGTACCAGTAACAGTAGTAATAGTACCAGTAACAGTGGTTATAGTACCAGTAACAGTAGTAATAGTACCAGTAACAGTAGTTATAGTACCAGTAACAGTAGTAAAAGTACCAGTAACAGTAGTAATAGTACCAGTAACAGTAGTTATAGTACCAGTAACAGTAGTAATAGTACCAGTAACAGTAGTAATACTACCAGTAACAGCAGTTATAGTACCAGTGACAGTGGTTATAGTACCAGTAACAGTAGTTATAGTACCAGTAACAGTAGTTATAGTACCAGTAACAGTAGTTATAGTACCAGTAACAGTAGTTATAGTACCAGTAACAGTAGTTATAGTACCAGTAACAGTAGTTATAGTACCAGTAACAGTAGTTATAGAACCAGTAACAGTAGTTATAGTACCAGTAACAGTAGTTATAGAACCAGTAACAGTAGTTACAGTACCAGCAGCACCTTCATTAAAGCTGTTAATTAATATCCTTTCTTAAACTATAAAGTATAAAATAGCTGCTCTCTGTCTGGTAGTAGTTTCTCTCTCCTCTGTTTCCTCAGTTCATCTTTTACCTGAATGAATCTGCTGACTGTTCATTTACATCCTTTCACACATTCATCAATTACTGTTATTGACACAGAGACAGTGGATGGTGACTGCACTGAGTGACAGCTGAACAGATCGGATCAATAAAGCTCAAAATAGGAGATAACGATCAGTTAATTACCCAT